ATCTCTTCAATTCTACTCCTTTGCCCTTTCAGTGTATTGTCTATTTCTGATATTGTATTATTAATCGTTTGGACCTCTTTATGTAGGTTTTGAATTGTTTCCAATGCTCTATCTTATTTGATTGTTCCTGTAGCACTTTCCTGACTTTTTCCTCAACTGCATTGTAGAGTGTTTTGATACATTTTATAATAATTTTTCTGAATTTCTTCTCCAGCGTTCCCAATGCCTGCCCATCTTCCAGTATGGAGTGTAGGTCTACGTCCAGCTCATTTGCCTCAGTCACTTTATCTTGTTTCTGGACATGTGCAGATATGGTCATCTACGTCTGTTTTTTGGGCATCTTCAGGGGTTATCTGTGGAATTAGTATTTAGATGGGTATGTATTTTGGTATTTTTTATGCTTTCTGAATGCCTCCAGGTAGATGTGATCAGGAAATTGGCTTCCCTTTTTACTCTTCTTCCTGAGAAGTTTCAAGATACCATTGTTGGTCGTTTTGACGTAACTTAGGATTTAATTTTCGGCTTATTTCCTTTTTTGTGTGCTTGTCCCACTCCACAACCCCGTTCAGGACTTTTTTCTAGTTGTAAACAGTTCAGGGCTGGCTGTGGCTGTTTGGTTTTAATTGGACACTGTCTCTTTAAATTTCGAGAAGATCTACACGCATGCATAGTGGAACCCTCCAAGGGTGGGGCTGGGGTGCCCACTAGCTCAGGCACTCCTATAGTCACCAGAATGGAGGTGTGCAGATAGCAAGGGACTAATGAATAGATACCCAAAGAAAAGAATGTCCACACCTTTATCTCAGCGGTTCTGCCAGGCATCTGTGGCTGCTCCTATCCTTCCCCCATGTGGTCTCAACCCAAGATGGCAGCTCCTGGAGCAGCCAAGCATCCCGGACTAGAAAGCAATAGATTTCTTGCTTCTGTCACAAATTCCCCCAGTTATGAGCCTTCCAACCTTCTAAGTATTCCTTTATATATGGTTCAAAGTTCTGGAACTGTCCCCTGAGCCTGCTTGGTCGGGTATTCTGTGTTGTTGGCGGAGCTCCTTTACTGCACTTCCACCCGATCTGCCATCTTGTTTGTTCTCCCCCAGTGTGCCTTTTTTAAAATGAAGATTGTCCAAGAATGTAAGACACGAATTATGTGTCATTCAGTTCATTTCCAAAAATAAAAGTGCAATGAATGCAACTTATCATCTTCACTGTGTACAATCCAGGGCTGATCAATTCCAGGAAGGGTAACTATCATTAAAGAATAGCTATAAAAGGAAGGGTAGCATAGCATGGATCCCTTCCAAACTCCTCCCTCCTGTGTGCATCTTCATTCACATCCTTTCTGCTTACAATAAATGGGTAACTGCAGAATAACTGACATTCAAAACAGACCAAGAGCCAACTAGCTGCTGTTGAGTGGATGCTGGCTCACTAGGAATCTACATACATCAGACAGAATTGTGCTTCATAGAGCTTTCAATGGATGATTTTTTGGGGGAAGTAGACTGTCAGGCCATTCTCCAGAGCTGAGTCTGGGTGGACTAAAGCCTCCAACCTTCAGTTCACAGCTGAGCAGGTTAACTGTAGTATCTAGGGACTCTGGATCAAGTGCACTGGCCACTGTCCGAAGAAAAACAACATCAAGCATGTAGGGGTTCTGAATGATGCAATTTCTGACTTGAAACCACTTGATACCTTAGGAAAATTTAAGATGTGTTTTAGTTCAGAACTTGTTTTTCTAAAATTCCTTAACTGATAACTACCTAGTTCCTATGAAGCCCCATTTTCCCATAGGGCAATTTTGTGTCATTAAAAAAAAAAAGAAATTAATTCTGGCTAGTTAATAAATCAGGATAGACCAGTGCCGACCATAGGCAGCAGATCTCCTGATCACCTGTACTGCTTACCACACACCACTCCTTCACTCTAAGGTCAAAGAACTCCCCTATTACTTCATTTCACTATTTTTACCTCATTTTGCCTGGAGGGTAACAATCATGATACACAACTTTCCAGGTCCTCCAAGGTGCCTGGCTAAAAGTGTCACACACAGGTAACTACAAATTTGCTAATGCACAGGAATGCCTGAAAACACTACTCGATCTCCTTGTTTATTCAGAAAAAACTACATTCTGAGTTTACCTTCTGATTCAATGGAGATATAGTGTCAATGGCAGAATCAACAGGAAAAATCTGAATCCTCTGTTCTGTATAGGTGTGAAAATTCAGAAGAGCCATCACAAGATCTTGAACAAAAGCCAGGGCCTGCCCAGCAATATCTCGCATCTTCAGCTTTAAAATGAAAAGTAGACAGTTAAAGGCTTTTTACTCTAAGACAGCTTTATTAAGCCTGCTTCTGGAGAAAATGAACTCTAATTACTCCTTAATTTAAGTTTATTTCCTCTCACATAATTCTTAACATTTCTATCTAAAAGTTATGGACTGAGATATGTCCCTCAAATGTTGTTGTTGTCAGGTGCCATTGAGTCGGTACCAACTCATAGAAACTCTATGCACAACAGAACAAAACACTGCCTCACTGTACCTCAAATATATGTGCTAAAATCCTAAACCCTGCACCAATAGGCACAATCATGTTTGAAAATAGGAGCTTTCTTTATCACATTAGCTCTGTTGGGTAAGCACTAGACTGCCAACCACAGGGTTGGCAGTTTGAGCCCTCCAGCTGCTCCAAAAGTGACAGATGAGGCTTTTCTGCTCCCACAAAGATTCACAGCCTCGGAAACCCTATATAGGATCACTAGGAGTCAGAAACAACTCAACGGCACATAAACAACTAGGTCATACCAGACTAGGGTAGGCACTAAATCTAAACATTTCTGAATTATAAAAACAGCAGAATGGACACAGAGACACATGTAAGGAGAAGACAGACACCAAAGAAAATCAAGGAACTCTAAAGAACACCAAAGATCCCCAGCAGACACCAGGAACTAAGAGGGAGGTTCACAAAAGGCTGATTTAGACTTTTAGCCTCCAGAGTTGGGAGAAAATTAATTTCTGTTCTTCAAATACTACTGATATTTCTGTTAAGGCAGCAGGAGTTAACTAAGACAGTAAGTGATTAGAAAGCCACCAGTTTTGGCAAATGCATCTCCCATACTTAACCTAAAACATTTAAGTACCAGGTCTATTAACCTAGAATAAATGTATAGTTAAAAAATTATTGCATTCCAGGCTTTAGTTCTAATGCTGTCAGGCAAGAGAAACAGAAAACAAACAAACAAACTGTTTTACTTAGAAGCTCCATAAAATAAGTTAAAATTTTCAAAAAATATATACCAGAAAGTCAAGCAAAAGTTAAATATAATGACTGCATTACACAGGGGTTCAACCAACGAATTCTCTAGTTGTCTCTGAAAATCTTGGCATGTACATCGCTGAAAATTAAAGCGTGTATGTCAACCATTACCTGATGTCTTCTATTGTGGAGTGGAACATTCAGGGCATTATATTGACTATATTCTACAAAACAAAAATGGATGTACATTTAAGTCTCTCATTTTACATGAAGTTATCAGAAAAACTGCTTAGCTGCAAAATAGTAACTGCTCTGTGGCAAAATCAAATAAAATTTTAAATACCCAAAGCCACAATCATATATACAGAATTGACACAAAATCAGTGGTTCTTCAGATAAATCACTATTACTTTTTTTTTTTTTAACTTCAAGTTTAAAAACAAACCTCCTGTTTCTATTTCTAAGAAATCATTTTAAACACTTCTTTGAGGCCTGTCAAGATTACTTAGAAAAACAAGTTCATGATATTTTTGCGGTCTCCAGTCATCTCCTATCTAAAATAACTGCATATGGCTGTCACTAATCATTCCCAAACACCTCTGTTTCCATGACACAATATTAAAAAAAAAATCTAGTGCTGTCTGCTACTGTTGGTCTCTCCTTCACTGTCTTCCTCTTTACCCTTGACCCTGTCGTCAACCTCTAATAGAATCACACTGTCTTGACCTTCAAGTTTTTATGATTTTCATCTCTACTCACCTCTTCAGCATATCAAACCAGCCCCTTTTGCCCGGGTCCTACATCAGAATGACTGCAGTGCTAAAATCTCAGATTCAGAAAGTTGTTTTGCTGTTCTTCTCTAATTTTCTCATAATTCTCCCCATTCCTACCAAATCAGTTGTGCATTCTGAACTTGGTCTCCTGTCCATCAACACCTCTCTGTTCTGTCAGCCCTCTTTGAGCCTTGCTTGGTTTCCTTTCCAACCTATTCCAATATTTCACATTCTTCTGCTAACACAAAGCTAGGCAGGACTGACCCACTGTGGTATATTCTATCTTAAAGAGGACTTCTGTGCTGTACAGCAAGTATGATTTATTTGCTGCCTTTCTAACATACTTGCCATGACACCTATTCTAATCCTTTTGCATGTTAAGCCCCTAATATTCTTCTGCCCTGTCCCATGGATGGGAGGGCCTCAATCCTACTTTGTTAAGAAGACCAGAGACAAAGCACAAGGGTTCTTAAATTCCCTACCCTCCATCTCAAAATCAATAGCTTCACAGTTATTTCCTAACCTAACCTCCTCTAAGGCCCTTAGGACAGTTCCCTCTGACCCCTCAGGTACCCAGCCCATTCATTAGGTCTTCTCACATCTTCAGGATTATCCCATTGCAAAAAAAGCATTTGTCACAGCTTGTTTAACTTGTCAACACACTGACGTCCTGGCCTTGTTATTACTTTTTAATCTCTGGCCTCTCCTCCTGCGCTCTTACCCCCACAGGCAAGTCTTTGGTCGAGTCCCCATCCTTCCCATTTCCTTCAGCCCTTAAATCGAAACCAAACCCAACCCAACCCAGTGTCATCAAGTTGATTCAAACTCATAGTGACCCTAAATGACAGAGTAGAACTACCCCCTAGGGTTTCCAAAGCTATAAATCTTAACCAAAAACAGATTGCTACATTTTTTCTCCTAGGGAGTGGCTGGTGGGTTCAAACCACTGACTGAAAGCTTAGTCACTAGACTCCCATTAGCTCCAAAGTCAGTAAAACGATCAGTATTTTGCCATTTTTCAGATGGGGACATAGAGACTGAGCTGCCCAGACATATAAAACCACTACACTATCAGGATTCCTCATCACCCCCATTTCTCAAAAAAGAGCACTGCTGTTTCCTGAGCATCCACTCACTTCGAATCCCTGCACTAGCAAACTGGTGGTCACTCCACCATGAATGAAGCACTTCTCTCAAAGGAAATGAGTCCTCTCAAAGTCATCAAATCCAGTCACCAAACCCAGTTATCTTTACCCTCATCACTCCAGCTCCTTGTGTACAAATGCAAGTTAAACAAGAGTTTTCTCAAGGTGCAAAACCAGTGAAGCATATTTATATTATATGTATAAATATACAGAGATTTATTTTAACGAAATAGCTCACACAGTTGTGGAGGCTGACGAATCCAAATATCAGCAGGTCAGATGGCAGGTTGCTGGCTCACGGGGCTGTGGGAATCCCAAAATCTGTAGATCAAACAGCAAGTTGCTGGCTCACATCTCAAGAACCAAAGGTCAAAGGATGATTAGTCAAGTGCAGGATCCAGAAAGAGAGAGCTTTGCCAGAACATCCATATATGTTGGATGCAGGCCACACCCCCAAGGAAACAGACTTGTTTTCAACTGATTAGCTGTTCACATCAGAACACAAAATGGAGGATGATTACTTTATAAAAGACCAATCAGTCAAATGTCTGCCAAACCACAGAGAATCAAAGCCTATTCAAGTTAACACAGAACATTAACTATCACAGTCTAGCACTGTCAACTTGACACCAGTACACATCTCCTGTAAACCAGACATCTTTAAATAAAGACACTATAAAGTCACACTTATGCCTAACGTAATACAACTAACATTCATCTACATGATACAACTAATCAGAAATGCACTAGGTATTTTCCCTCACTTTCCCCATCATTTATTTTATATATGCATACATATATACATATATATACACATACACATACATACACACACATACATACATATGTGAGGCTAAGTGAAGTATTGCTACAAAATCACAGAAACCTTTATTAAACAAAAATGTCAAAATGTGAAGCTACTGTTTCTTGGCATATCCTCCAATGTGGTCTACACACTTCTTAGGCAGTATTTCCATTTTGCATTCTTCAATATACATCATATCAAGAGAGCAACTGTGGCATCCTCGATGGACTCAAACTGCGTTCCTTTGAAATACTGAGCTTCAGAAACAAAGACGTGTGACAGGACAAGATCAGGGCTATAGGGTGGATAGGATAACGTTTCCCAATGAATCCAAGTAGGACAGACCTTGCA